GTGATTTTAAGTCAAAGAAGCTGACTTAATTCCATCCCTCCTTACAATCGATACGGCCAGGTGGTAGAAAAAAGAAAAAACTTTTAAATCTTATCTGCTTATCAGCTGTTCTACAAATTGAGTTTCTTGGTTTTTTGTAGAGTGGGGCAAAGTTGTGAATTGGTGCATGCTCCTACAACAGTGACAATGTCTTGTCTGTCAGGGAATGAGAAGCTACTGGTGCTGTTGAGTCCCATATTGATCGCAGTTCCCTGACCCAGTTTCTCGTACGCCTGTGTATTTTTGTATCTGCTTTTTGAACCAGACAGATTAGACGTCATAGCATCCACCTTTCATCTCAAAAGCTGGAAAAAAACTGCTCAGGAATGGCTCGAGAAACAACACAAAAATTCTAAGACATTTACTCAGCCTCCAAACTCCTCAAATCTCAATCCGATTGAACATCCTGCAGATAAACAGCAAGCAGCCAGATCTATGGTGGGCCAACATCGCGCCCCATTGTGGAAGGGGGATCTACACAATATAACATAGGTGTTTTAAACATTGTGGCTGATTTGCCATTTGCGCCAAGTGTCTGTGCAACCAGACATGAACTACACTAAGGCATTAGCGCACGCACAGCCTCGCACACATGTGCCGTTTCCTGCTCATAAGGGCCTTTTAATATCAGACAAGACTGGGCTGGTTCTGTGGGAAGCTCTGCGGGAGCTGTCTGGACATTCTGATTGAAGGAAAATCTCATTACAGATTAGCTGTAGGCAAAAATATGATTAACGGCAAGGCGGGACAATGGATAATCCTCATTCACATTAAGTTCATTCGTATGCGTACAGATAATGTCCCAGCAGGAACATGGAAAGTGTTCTAATAAGAATAGTGTACCCAACCAATCGCACTTCAACAAATTGAGAAGAGGGAGCTGGTACATGTAAGGGACCGAGCAGCAGAACCAAGCATGACGCAAGGTCGATTTTGTTCTCTCACTTGGGTTCGTATAGATTTCGTTTTTAAGTAGAGCACCTAAAAATACGAATATTTTAAAGGTTCTTTTTTTTAATATTCTATATTGATAAAGTCATAAAGTGAAATATTTCTGTTTTTATGTTTTCAGTTGGATGATTGTTGGCTGATAGTATTTAGTGTGCAGTATTTTATGATTAGAATATTTTATTTTGAGTTTGAGTAAATTACCACTCAAACAATACAAATACTGTGTATTTGTTGGTCTAGTTCAGAACAGGTAAATACGATCAAGGCCAAAACTGAGAGACTTGACAGTCCAGATAACAAACATTGCCAAGGTCTACTGGGGAAAAGGCCAGCTGTTCACAAAGTGCTGTATGAAAGCATGTTAATGCTAAGATGACAGGTAGGGGAAAGTGTTTCTGGAAAAGGTGCACAAGCAATGGGGATGACCACTGCCTTGACATGATTGTTAAGAGAAGTCTATTTGAGCAACCTGGGAAAATTCAGAAAGATTGGACTGAGGCTGGTGACGGTGCAATAAGAGCCACCGTCACACAAATCTTCAGGAACAGGATAAAACTGTTGCATTCTTAATATCAAGCTACTTCTGATCCAGAGATGTCAGAAGCATTCTTATCTGGGCTAAGGAGAAAAAGAACAGGACTGCTGCTCGGTCCACAGTCCTGTGATCCACATATGAAAGCAATTTTTTTCATTTTATTTGGAAATAAACATCTTAGCGTCTGGAGGAATAATGGAGACAGAATCCAAGGTCTTTTATGTCCAGTGTGAAGTTTCTGCAGTCTGTGATGATTTGGAGTGCCGTGTCATCTGCACGCAGCTATCTACCAGAAGATTTTAGAGCACTTCCTTCCATCTGCTAACAAGCTTCGTGGAAATGCCAATTTCCTTTTCCAGCAGGATTCTGCCCACAGTGCCAAAACTCCTACATAATGATTTGCTGAATGTGTTATTATGGTGGTTGATGGGGCAGCTGACTCACCTGACCTGAAACCCACAGAGAATCTCTGGTTTGTTTCAAGAGGAAGATGAGAAGCCGACCCAAAAATACAAACGAGCTGCTGTCATCAAAGCAACCTGAGCTTCAGTAACACCTCAGCAGGACCGCAAACTAATCGCTTCCATGCTACACTGTACTGATGCAGTAATTTGTGGTAAAGCAACCCCAGCCAGGTACTGAGTGTATAAATGAACACACTTTTTAGAAGCTGGAGATTTCTGTATTGTAAATGCTTTTTTAAATCATGGAACTATTACAATCATGTTTAGATGTGTGATTAATATAAAAGTTGAGTTACATTATGAAAAAAGTCAGAATATTCTAATTTTTTGGAGATTCACTGGTACCGTATGCATTTGTGTGGATTTGGGATGACCTACACAGGAACTAGGACTCAAGCTTACCTTTTGAATGTTTTATACATGTTTGAGAATAACAGAAATACACATCTCGAGATTAAATCATTATCTTCTTTGCTGTAATATTTGGAAGACAAGAAAATACTGACAGGGGTCACCATGGAAACAGCACAGAAACACTTCAGCTCTATTTTTCATCACATCACTGTTAAATGCCTCGTGGGAGCACATTCGAGTTATACTTTTAAAGATATATTTGCTAGTCATTGGCGTTTTCATTTGAAAGCACTAGCCTCAAACAGCGCATACTAGGAAGCTTATTCAAATAAAAAAGATCTGGGCTTGCTGGATCCCTCACACACTTGTGGCTTTTTTTTTACTGGTGTGCAATCCATTTGGACAGAGGTTTACAGGGAATGCTAACTGGGGTTATTGGGGTTCCTCCAATCTCTGGGCAAGATACAACTCCACAAAAAAAAGGAGAAAAAGTGACCTGGTGTGTCCAACGGTGTGTGTATTTGGGATTGGAAAAATGTGGTATGAACAGAATAAAACTGTAGTATACTGTGTATGCTATTTGAGTGAATGGGTGAATTTAGAATTCAGTGTAATGTCCTTCGCATGCACAGGAAGATTAGAAAAATAACCTTTTTCACTGTCGTAAATGTGACACACAGAACACAGAAGTGGCTGAAGAATAACCCCTGCCTTTAATTTTTATTTAATCTTCAGAAAATAAAAAACAAGCTAAAATTGAGTTATTTTATTATTATCTGGTTTGAAATAACTTAAAAAAAACATAAATTAATTGTGTATTAGAGCAGCGGTCCCCAACCTTTTTTGCGCCACGGACCGGTTTGTGCCCGACAATATTTTCATGGACCGGCCTTTAAGGTGTCGCGGATAAATACAACAAAATAAAACTAGTACCGGTACCGAAAAAAAGAAGATTTATTCATAACACACGTGAAAAGACCCAGGAAAACCGAGTTAACGAAAAAAAACAAATAACAAAATAACGCTAAAAACCCTGAAAACCATACATTTCACACCCGAGTCTCACTCTCGCGGCCCGGTACCAAATGACTCACGGACCGGTACTGGTCCGTGGCCCGGGAGTTGGGGACCGTGGCCCGGGAGTTGGGGACCGTGGCCCGGGAGTTGGGGACCGCTGTATTAGAGCTCTTACAAGTCTTAAGGGCAGGCTTTGTAGCAAGCAAAGAACAGCAGCGCATGTCTCCTCAGGGTGTAAAGTGTTTGTGCTATATGAAACACAAACTCTTAAAAGTTGGGGAAAATCTGACTACTTCAAAATCCTCTTTCAAAAAAAAAAAACTTACAGTAAGGGAAAATCTAAATAAACTCTTTTTCCACCTAAGCTCATGCAGATGGTTTGAACGGAGCAACGATTTAGATTTTTATCCGTGAAACACAAAGTGCCTCTCGAGACTGGGAAGGCAGTGAGACCTGTCTGTCAGCCGGTGGCAGGATGAATGATCCTTAGCCATAATGCTGCTCCTCTGCCATTACCTAGATGATATTTCTCCACTGCTAAATGTCACATCAATATTCTCTAGCAGCCAATTAATCTCAGCTCCCATGGAACCTGGTGACATCTCGCATCCTGTTGGAATACAGATGGCACCATCGCTGGACCTTTGCTCTTAACACATATTTGCTGAGAGCACTCATATGGTGCAGTTCAAATATTGTGCAACCTCGTGCATCTTTCCCTTCTTAAATCTTTCAGAGGGTTTCGCAGAGAAAACTTTATTAGCAGAGGCAGTGGCAGCAGCACAGCTTGACTTTTATTCAATTGCGGGCAGAGGGTACTTCAAGGATAGATGGGAAAGGAAAACGATTTTTCACAGGATGTTCTACAGGAGGATTTAAGTCTACTGTATTTTGAGGCGTGTGTTGGGGAGGTGAGTGATAGCCTCGGTGTTAGGATGGTGACATGAGGGGAGCGGGTGATTACTAAAGACGAACAAGGTCAAATCGCTCATTGTCCCTGCTGTTGCTGTATCGCTGAACTCTGGCAGAATTAAAGGCTTATGTTGAGGTGTGGTCAGAGCTGGATGCTCTTAGTCACATCTCAGCAACGATTTTAGATGGCATCATTTCAGAGTAATAGCTTTGACCCTTTAAAGTCTCAACAGTAACTATGATTCCACAAGAATTGCAGTTAATCATAGTTATACTTGCCTGATCTGTCATAGTGTGCATAGCCATATATGAGAGAAATAAAATCCATTAGAAGCCATTTAGAGATATGAGTCACCGTCACCTGAATATCCTATCAGATAATAAAGTCACTATGTAGTCTAATGATTAAGGTTTGGCTTCCCTGCGCAAACTGTACTATGGATGAACTTCCCTAGAGGTATATATTATACTAAGTGTTTTACTATTTAGGTCATGACATTAAGAGGTTGAATTTAGGCCCCAGAAGATTCAGGCTCTTCCTACAGTAACAGCTTGTTGCTAAGCAATGCCATTTAAAAACAGGAGAGTACTGAAAAATGGGTTGTACTAAATGGCTTTCCTTTGAATCGTAAACTATAAAGAATATAGGGACCCTGCTGATTTTAAATGGAGTGACCCTCTGTGTGTTTCAGATAATATTCAGAAGTGTAACACAGTTTGTTGCTTACCTGTCCTACATAGACCAGCAGTCTGGCATTAAGAGGAGTCTCATCAGGGCTCAGCCAGAACTCAGAGTTATCGTCTGATGATACTGAGAACTGGAAATCACCTGGAAGGGAGAAAATATGATCAAAGTGTGTGTCAGTGGAAGTAGATATGTATGATCTAAGAGAGTATAATCACGAAGAGCAGAATTTCATAAGAAATGTGAAAAAGAAAACGCACCAAAAATGTGGTGCCCTGCCGGGAGCAGTAGTCATGGATGACATGCATGGTTACGGTGATATGAAGATTTTCCTCACATGAATTTCTAATCTGTATGTAACAACTATATGAATGGAAATAAACACTTGAGCACAGACGCAAAACAGTGAGAACATGGGGTGCAGTAAGTGGAGCTCACAAACATTGTCATTCAGTTTATAAGTAATCTCAGGATAGTGACAAATTGTATTTATTTGTCATCTTTCCTCATAAATGTTTACACGTTCATGGGTAATCAGTGATCTGAGAGACAGTGATCTTGGTTTTCAAATGTGGAGTCATCCTAAGAGCAGAATAAAATCGGTATCCACACCGTCAGATTATCTTTCATTTCTTCTTGTGGATTGGCATGCAAATTCATATATACTATTGTATATAAAAAAGCGTAACACAGGTGGACATACCTGTGAATACAGATTTCTTTTTTTTGTTGTTCTTTTCCACCTTTATTTGATAGACACAGTGAAAGCAGGGGCAGAAAGAGAAGGGGAAGACATGCGGCAAAGGGCCGCGGGTCAGACTCAAACCCGGGCTGGCCGCTCTCAGCCATATGGCATGTGGTCGACTGCTCAACGCACCCCAGTGAATACAGATTTCTAATAATGTTGCTGCACTGACTATTATTTATCGAACTAAAATAAGCTAAAATGCAGCATTGCTATTAGAAAAAACAAGGTATAATCTTACTATTTCCACAGTGATTAAGAGCGGGATAGCTGCCATGTGCTGCTAATCAAAAGCCCTTGATTAACTGATCAAGTGTGGCCATCCTTATAAAAGCAGAAGTTTTGGTTTGGTGTCTTTTTGTTTGTGTTTTTCTGGTCTGGAGCGCTATTGTGTGTGTTAACACACTCCAAAGACTCAATGCCACTTCGGCAATGATTTTAGAGAAGCAATTGTTAGTACCCATCAATCTGGGAAGGGTTATGAGGCCATTTCCAAACAATTTAAAGTCCATCATTCTGAAGTGAAAAACATTATTCACATGTGGACAGCGTTCAAGCCAGCTGCCAATCTTCCCAAGAGTGGACACCTCAGAAAATTCACCCCAAGGTCAAATCATATAATGGTCATAGAAATTGCAAAATTGCACCTGAACAAACCACAAGACTTCTGAAGTCCTTGGACAGACAAGACCAGAGTGAAATTGTTTGGCCATAATGCGCAGCACTACATTTGGTGACAACCAAAGCGTACAGCATATCAGCATGAACATAGCATACTAAGTGGGGAGCAGAGGAATGGCGAGGGTACAGCTAAAGTTTGGCTGACATTGGGACATTGGCACAGCAGCAAATCTAAAACTGAATGGCAGAAAAAAGAAAAGGATCAAGGTGTTGCACTGACTCAGTCAAAGTTCAGACCTCAACCTGACTCAAATGCTGTGGCAGGATCTTAAGAGAGCTGTGCATAAATCAGTGCCTGGAAACCCAAATAAACACTGTAAATAAGAGTGGGCCTAAATTCCTCCACACCAATGTGAGCGTCTGATAAATAATTACTTCAAGTTGTTGCTGTTAAAGGTGGTTCTGGAAGCTGTTCAGTTACACTCTGCCTAGCCTTTGACACAGTGTAATATGCCGTGTGTTACTGCTTATCCGAGGTTGTATTCAAATACTTTTAGAAACTGTCAAGCAGACTCTTTGTTTCATTGTTCATTTCATAAAACGACAGAATTAAAAACAAAGAGCACACTTTCTTTTTCACATTTGGGAAATCAAGTCTGCCGTGTAAAATGATGAATGATGAACACTCGTGAACACAGAATGAAATGTAACTTTAATTCAACTTTAATTTATATATTTTATCTTATTCTTTCCCAGTTAAATTTACCCTTCATTCTAATTTGTGTTGTACAGTTATTTCATTTTTAACCTTAATTTATATTTTATTCCTTCCTAGTTAAATTTACCCTTTTTAATTTTTCATATTTATTTCCTACCTTATTCATAGCCTTTTCCTTTTTTGTTTTCTTTAGGTCACGAGCAGTTGTCCAAGCATTTCACTACATATCGTACTGTGTATGACTGTGTACGTGACAAATAAAATTTGAATTTGAATTTGTAATAGTGCTAATGTATTGACTATTTTCTCCTCTTGAGCACAGACTCTTTCGCTACTGCCGCTGCTGGATTCTTGAAGATAATTGTAGAACGGCACCCGTTAACTTTTCGATCTCCAGCAGATTAAAAACCCAGGCTTTGCTCTTTATTTAGTTATTTAGTTATTGTCACGGCGAATTGTGATATTGGTGCTCGACTGATACTGCCCTTTTTTATTCACCACATATGCACTAACCTCAGAGTTGACTTAACTGTGTGATCAGCTGTTTCTGAATAGAGCTTCCCATTTTGGGGTTGCTGCAAACCCAGGTCAGTACGGTGAGACATTCTAATATTTTTCAGGTGGTAGTGTTCACTATAATAAAACTAATTTGTTACTACACTATTGCAATATTTAGGAATTCTCAAACTACATGTTAAATTGCCACATTATTCATATTTTAAATTTGGTTGCAAAACATAATTGAGAAACGACGTGCACGCTGTCACCGAGAAGATAATATGACCTTTAAGCCATCAGCAACGGAGAGTGATACCCCAAGTGAAAGCTACATGAGGGGCTGAAATGAATGGTAATCTAATTAATAACTTCATATTCTGCAATTTGTGTAAGGGCACTTGGGCATTAGAGCTTTCAGTTCCCATAGCAACTGGGCTTGAGGGTAAGGCCATGAGGGAACTGCAATGAGATTTAGCTGTGAGACTTCTGGCATTCAGCCCTAATAAAAATGTGAATATCCACTACATTAGTGGCTCCGAAGTGCTTGGATTAAGAGGGCTGTGGAAAATGTCTACTCTTTCAAATGTGCAAATGCTTCCTCAGATTGGTGACTTACTAATAGAAAAAGCTAGTTACCATCTCTGTAAGGGTGAAGGTAGCCAAATATTCTCAAGCCATAGTTCTTCCACTTTGGAGCCACTGCCAGTTTCTTCACTGTTGTCCTGGCCTGTAGTAAGAAAGAGGGAAAAAATATTGCAACTTTAATAGCAGCAAGTTAAACACTATCTCATGTTAAGTCACAGTGAAACATTCAGTTCAAAAACACACAATGAAGCATAAGGCAAACCTCTGACCCACTTGTTCAAGTCTGCCACTTGATATAAGGACAATGAAGACTAACAGACGAGATACTGTAATAAAAGAGCCTGCTTTAATTAAACATAAAGCTAGCATGCTCACATATCATAGTGAGCATGCTAGCTTTTTACCTGGAAATTGTTGCTATACAGTATCAGTCCCATCATACAATTTATGCATGTGGCCATTTTTTTTGCCATTTTTGATCTTTTTGAGACATCTGAAACTGCTGTAAGTTTTGCCAGTGATGCTGTTAAACTAAATAGGTTAGCAATTAATTATTTAGAATGATATTATCAGATTAATGTTGCTGAGCCTTTGCAGACTCAGAAGGATGTAAAACACAGTGATTTCAGCTACCAGTGAGGCGCGCTCCACTGCTAAAAGCTACTGATTTTATGACAATGATGATTCACTGTTTCACAGGTTGATTTGCACATGCACCAAACACCTCAGCTAGGAGCAGCTGATGAAATGTGCTTGTGGCAGTTGTCAATTTCAGTCAGCAAATCAATAGGTACAAATGAAAAGCCTGCTGTCTGAGACTAAGAGCCATTTTCCAAAATAAATAAATGAATAAAAATTCTGCTGGTAAATATGACACAGACACAGCTAGCTGCATATGTGACTTGTGCGAGCAGGGAGACTGACAGGCATGCACAACCAGTCAATACTATGTGCCTTTAGTGTTAATGCATGAAAATGCGCACTGCTGTACTTACATGAGGATAGAGAGGGAAGTGCAAGTTCTTTCTCAGCTGGGCTACAGAGGAGCCGCACCAGTCCTCAAACACGTGAAGGTTAGCCTGGCCCTTATACTGTCAACACACAATCACACACGCACAGAGGACACAGGTCAATGCACACACTAACAGCGGCATCATACGTGCTGTTAAACAGGAGATACGCTTCAGTGCTTCAGAGCTGCCATCCTGCCTAGAACGAGCTGGAATATGTGCAATTTCCTCCATGTTGCAGGAAAAATCAAATCTCTTTGAAACACGCGACTGCGGAGTGAGGTTAGAAATGTTGTGAATAACAGAAGAACTCAACAGGAGTATCGGGGGAGTGTGAACTGAGAATGTCTGGAGCAGTTTGTCAAAGCTCATCCCCTGCCCATAGTATGACATTTGTCTGAATTACACAGGGAAATCACAGGACACAGCAAGGACAGATGGTGAAACCAGTCTGCTTTGGGGCACAGTCTCCTCTCTCGTGCACTCTCTCTCGTTCATCACACACACACACACACACACACACACACACACACACACACACACACAC